GAACCCCGATCTCCTGGATCCTAGGTCCATGCTCAACCGCTGAGCCACGCCCGGCTGGGCTCCAAATTATTGATGCTTCAACTCCCAACCCCAGATTTAAGGGCTTATCATTACTGGTTTATATATATATTTTCCCCTCTTCTCCAGCATTCTCCCCCAGCTTCCTCCTCCCTTTCTTTCAATGTATCCTAGACAATCTAAAAAATTAAACAGTAATAAATTGCTAATCATGCCTTTTAATGCGATCTTTTGAGCTACCGTTTGTAAGTCTAAACCTCTGCTATTTAAGCCCAGGGAAGGCGAATCATTTATACATTCATTAAATAAATACTTATATGTCAGGAACAACTTGAGACACTGGAAATTCAGCATTGAACAAGAAAGACAAGATTCTTGATTCTGTTGAACTTATGTTCTAGTGAGGCTGCGCAAGTGACAGACAAGTAATGAAATAATTGCAGATATCAGTAAATGAAAAAGCTATGAAGAAAATAAAATGAGACAAAGGGGTAGAAGATGACTGACCTGAAGAAACCACTGAGCTTTGCACATGGATCCCTCTTAGATCCCCAAGTCACACAATGTAGTTAACTCATCTAACTACTATAAATGGTGGCCTTGGTCACTTACCTTGGACCATGCTAAACTTTTGGTTAAAGTTCCATTTTCCTTCATCCCCCATTATTTTCATTTGATAGATTTTTATAGCATTGTAGCCTAGTGGTTTAGAAGTATAGCTTTGGAAGCCAAAGAGCCCAGGTTTGTCCCTATTTTGTTGTGAAATTTTAAACAATGTGTAAGTTGAATAACATAGTATTTGACATATAGTAAACACTCAATAAAAGTTAAACATTGTAAGACTTACTAAGGTTTGTGTATTTGTTTTTGCTTTATTTATTCCCTGAAGCCTTCTAATAGTATCTAACACTATTTTTGTGAAATATTTTATCAAAACCTGTCTTGTTGCAAATTTTTAAACATGTTTTCCTGAGATGAAATAAGCCACACCAATTACTACCAAAATACTAATCCCAAATTTCTAAATATTGGATACAGACACTGTAGAGATCCACCAGACAAACCATTGACAGAGACAATATTTTAAGTGTGCTTGTGTTTGTATTTCAGCCATAAGTAGTAGGTAAGTACATAGGCTTGAAAGTCAGGCATAGATGTATCCCAACAGTCTGTGACCTTGCACAAGTACTTATGCACTCTGACCTTTAGGTTTCCCCATTTGTAAAATGCATTAATAATTCTAATAACACCTGCCTCCTCATTAACATGAAACAGAGAAATACATAAGCCCCCAGAGCAATGACTTGCACTTTAAGTACTGGATAAACGCTTTTGTTTCCTCCCAATAAATAAGCATGCAAAATGTCTAGTAGCACAAATAATAATTGTAACCTAAAAACTGCATAAGTATATTTAAATAACTGCTATCTTAGCTTTGAATCTGGTTGGTTTTATTTTTTCCAAGTTATTATATAAATGCAGTCAACCTAAATTCATAAAATTATAAAATCTATCTAAATTCCAGTGGAGAATTGTGAAAAAAGTTGCCTTTAATTTTTCCCTCTGACCTGAGCCAGTTTGGCTCAGTGGTTAGAGTATCAGCCCACGGACTGAAGGGTCTCGGGTTCAATTCCGGACAAGGGCATGTACCTCAGTTGCAGGCATGATCCCTGGGCCTGGTCCGGGCCTGCGCGGGAGGCAACCAATCGCTGTGTCTCTCTCACATCGATGTTTCCCTCATTCTCTCTCTCTCTCTCTCTCTCTCTCTCTCTCTCTCTCCCCCTTCCACTCTTTCTGAAAAGCAATGGAAA